ATTGACAGCAGTTTCACTTCTTTACAAACTACTCAATAAAAGCCATGCGCTGACCCGATTCGGGGCTCACTCAGTCTTCTCTGGCTGAGTCCCTTGGTCTTGTTCTTAATGTTACTTTTGTCTCTTGCTCTTATTCAATCTGCGTCGCCCCTTAAGAGAAACCTATTTGCCCTTGCCACGCTGGACGTGACACATGCCACTCATCCGCTTAGCTAACTGCCTCTGTTCCTCCAAGCTCATTGCTTTCAGGCCTTCCCTGCTGTCCTGGCTGGTTAGGACCCCTTCTCTGTGTGCTCGCAGCCCCCACCCAGCCTGGGAGGTCCTTGAGGACAGGGCTTGGCTCTGGGTCACCTCTGCCCCCAGCACAAGGCCTGGCCTGAACAGAGCTCAGAGAGCAGGTAGAGAAAACCGCTGAAATGGCAGGCCCGAAGGCACCATGACATGAACAGAAGCATCTGGGGGGGAGGGGTTCCTGGGCTGGGGGAGTGGGGCCTCTCCCCTAGCTTTCCCCCTAAGGCGGGCCCATGGCTGACATCACCTCTGTACCTGGCTCACTCAGACTGTAGGTCAGGAAGGATAGGACATCACGGTCATCTGGAAAGGGGGTTAGAGAAGGGAAGGCTCCTACCCCCGGCAGCCCACTCACTCAGTCCTCACCACCAGGCTCTGTTATATTCCAGGGAGGCGAGAAATCTGGGTGACCTTGGGCAACTCTGATCCTTATCTTGTTTACTTCATAGGAAGTGTGTGAGGGTCAGACAAGCAGATGGGTGGGGCTATGAGGGTTGACCCTCCTCCCCACCCAGCCAGAGGTGGGCCCCTAGTGAGTAGGAAAATTGGACAGTCCTGGGCTAGAGCCAAGGAAGCAGACTGAGTGTCACTCCCAGGCTCAGGTCCCCAGAGCATGGCTGCTATTGGCAAAAGCCACCACACGGTGGCCATCTCCTAAGCTTGGCTCTGACCACATCACTCTCTTCCTCAGAAACCTGCCGTGGCTCCCCAGTTCCCAGAGTCTAAAGACCAAAGTCTCGGCATTCATGGACACCTTCTCTCTGATTGCACCTTACTTTCCAGCTGTGGGTCTCTCCGTGGACTCTCTACTACACGCTTCATTCATCCCATTTCCCTAAATGTCCCTTATGGCTGTCCCCCTTCCCTTTGCTCCACAGCCCTCAGCTAGGGGCACTTACGGGGCCAACACTGGAATAAAAGCTTCTCGTGTTTTGCCCTATTTGAGACTTTCAACAACTCTGCAAGGCAGACAGGAGAGGACTCGGGGCTTGCCCAGGCCACACGGTGAGGAAA